TTACATGCCTTCTATTTTGCTTTAATAAAGCAATCCTCATGATGCTCACTGTAGTAATAGTTTTTATCATTTAATCAGTTACTATGATACTCTTGATAATCATCTGTGGGTTATATAAGAATTGTATTTGTGGGTCCAGGGGGCAGGGGGGGGAGCACCAAAATCGTTTAGCAGTGCGTGCCCGCAGGTACAAGAAGGTCGTTATGCCTTGTTTTTACATTCTCGAATGAAATATTATCAAGTTAATGATCGTTACTTAACAATAAAACTCTGTGAATTGTTTATTCTACTCTACACTATTGTGGGTCAATGAGGTTCATGATATGATGTTGTTATTACCTCAGTGAGTTTTATTTAGCATTGTATTTGCAAGAGCGTGAACCAGAGCGTTATATGTTGAGATTTCCTTTAAATAAATAAATTGTCAATGTATGTCGTTAAAGTTTGACATTTATGCATAAATACACATCAAATGTTTCTTTTAATGTAGTAAGAAGAATTTATAGTAAATAATATTAGGGCTTAAGAAAACTTAAACAACACGTATTGATCACGAGCTATGATGGTCATATTCATTAAATTATTGTCTGTCAACAAAGTGGTCCTTGATACGAGTGTAATCGGCAAATCGGGTGAAAATCACATTAAAAGATTCCGTAACATAGATAGATAAACAGATAGATAGATCCACGTTAAGGTAATAAAACAGCGTTAAAATACGAGTAATTGTGCATTAGTATGAAAGGTACAGTTTTTCAATGCATTGGTGTGGTTGTTAACATGTTTTCATGATAATATGAAAAAAAAAAACAATTGAATACCCATTATTTTATCGGAACGTTTTCAGAAAATTTTCTGGTCTATGAATAATGTATTTACGTAAATAAATTATTTTTGAATGTTTTTGTTCTTTTTTATTTCTTAAGGAAAATTTTACAAAACACATAAGTAGGTACCTAATTAAAAACTTTATTACAACAAAAAATAAAATAAATATTTGTGATCTTGGTCATTATTATAAAACTGTGGTTTTGCTTTTCGTAAAAATTGAATGATTTTTTGTATATATACCCTTATTTTAGAGATAGCTTGTACTATAATAGTTTTATTGTAAATTAAATTTAAATTATAACTGTTAAGTACTTAATTGATTATAAGTTAAATAATAAATCCAATCTATACATACGAGTATAATAAATCTGTAGAAAAGTCGTGTCGGTAATTCTAATATTTCCTGGAAAAAACAAGTCCATGGGACTAAATAAAGGATACTGAATCCAAATTACTGGTTTTTAGAACTTTTGTCTGTCTTTCTGTCTGTCTGTCTGTCCGTATGTGAAATTTTGTATGCAGGCAGTTAGTGACCCGGGGCTACTTATAGGCTAGTAATATATATATATAAAAGAAAAGGGTGGTTGGGGGATTTGCAACGTGTCCCAAAATTCAACGATAAGCCGACACCGGAGGATAGACCTGCCCCGGACTAATCGGGGAAAAAAAGAAAAAAAAAATATATCACAATTATATTTTAAGTTATATAAAAAAAATGAAATTCTTCAGAAATTGAGACCGTTTATGATATTTTTCACTACCATGACCACAATTTTTTTTTAATATTTGTTTCTTTTTTTTATAGGCAACCTGAATAGCACTGCTATCTACCACAATTCTTAAAAAATCCAGAATAACTCTTGTTTTATCACGAAAATTAATGAAACTTATTTTATTCCCTAAATTTTTGGAGACTTTTACTTTTAACCAAATTTAACTTATCGTGGTGTAAAAAAAAGTATGAACACTAGTATGGCAAGTTTTTTAAAAATTGACGAAACTAACTAACATTCCAAAATGGTATAATACTCTAGGCAAACAAGTTATAAAAAATATGGGTCTATGATTTCTTAACAGGGGCCAAATTCCTTAAATTGTAATTGTCAATAATCACTTTTACTACATGCCCAAAATGGGTTCTTGTTACAATTGCTAGGAATTTTAATGGGGCATACATACCTTAGATTTTAGAGAGAGATAAATAGATAGAGATATTTACGTTAAAAAGAGACAACCACAGGGCGGGTAGAGAAGCTGTTATTATTCTCAGCAAGTCAGTTCAGTACGCTCTGCTCCTTTGTTTACTGCGCACCGTTCCCAATTCATCTTACGTGGCTTTCGTACATACTATTTGACTATACTATAGACTTTTGGCATGGCTTTTTGTACTGGAATCTACCTGCAAACTTATATATATATATATACTTTAGAATCATTCTGTCTATTGATGAAAACTTCATCAAAATTCTAAAAAATATCTAAGCGTACAGACGGTGGGAAGCGACTTTGATTTTTATACTATGGAGAGATGGTTAGTAATAATAGGCTATCATGAAATGATTGCAATATTTGATTGTGTCTATAATGTATAAATGTAAGTTATTTATGTTATTTAATTTATTAGTAAGTAACTGATAAAGTGATAACTGAAGGCTAAATATACTACTTTTTACTTTTTATGACAGATGGCGCTGTTTCGGACACGTACAATGTATATCGTTGGCGTAGTTTTAAATTATTATATAACAGTTAAAACAAATTTTAAATTTAATTATAAATATTGTATTCTATATATATATATATATATATATATATATATATATATATATATATATATATATATATACAACGTGTCCCAAAATTCAACGATAAGCTGACACAGGAGGATAGACCTGCCCCGGACTAATCGGGGAAAAAAAGAAAAAAATATATATCCCAATTATATTTTAAGTTATATAAAAAAATGGAATTCTTCAGAAATTGAGACGTTTATGATATTTTTCACTACCATGACCACAATTTTTTTTAATATTTGTTTCTTTTTATTTTATAGGCAACCTGAATAGCACTGCTATCTACCACAATTCTTAAAAAATCCAGAATAACTCTTGTTTTATCACGAAAATTAATGAAACTTTTTTTATTCCCTAAATTTTTTGAAGACTTTTACTTTTAACCAAATTTAACTTACCGTGGTGTAAAAAAAAAGTATGAACACTAGTATGGCAAGTTTTTTAAAAATTGACGAAACTAACTAACATTCCAAAATGGTATAATACTTTAGGAAAACAAGTTATAAAAAAATATGGGTCTATGATTTCTTAACAGGGGCCAAATTCCTTAAATTGTAATTGTCAATAATCACTTTTACTACATGCCCAAAATGGGTTCTTGTTACAATTTCTAGGAATTTTAATGGGGCATGCATACCTTATATGTTAGAGAGAGATAGATAGATAGAGATATTTACGTTAAAAAGAGACAACAACAGGGCAGGTAGAGAAGCTGTTATTATTCTCAGCAAGTCAGTTTAGTACGCTCTGCTCCTTTGTTTACTGCGCACCGTTCCCAATTCAACTTACGTGGCTTACGGCTCATTATTTTTTAGAATTTTGATGAAGTTTTCATCAATAGACAGAATGATTCTAAAGTATATATATATATATATATATACATATTTTTTTTATATATATATATATATATATATATATATATATATATATATAATACATACGTATTATAGTAGTCTATAAATATAAAATCAATTGCTGCCCATAGTCTCGCTAAAACTCTCAAATTTTGTTGAAATTTTTTGTGTATTTGAGTGGGTCCCTGTATGGTTTAGATTTATAAGTTGGTTTACATTTTATTGGGGTGTCGTATAAATGTCAACGTTTGTAAAGTTTATCCTCAATCTACAACTGAATCTTCGAAGTGAATTCTCGTTTCGCCATAATATCATACGAAAGCACCACCACATTATATATATATATATATATATATATATATATATATATATATATATATATATCTTTCCTCTTGAATCATTGTGTCTATTGATGAAAACTTCATCAAAATTCTTAAAAAGATCTAAGCGTACAGACGGTGGGAAGCGACTTTGATTTTTATACAATGGAGAGATAGTTAGTAATAATAGGGTATCATGAAATGATTGCAATATTTGATTGTGTCCAGTACTTTATGATAATATGATCAATTCTACGATCTGGCCAGATTTACATAATTTGAGAGTTTTGATTTCATAGCTTTAATCTAAAATTAGCGCCACCTATCTACTGCTAAATAAAGTAATAATAACTGCTAAATACATTAAATATAATGCTACTAAATACTTATGCTTGCAGGATCAAAAACTTAAACTATCCAGCCATTTGCCATGGTAAAGCCAGATGCTTTACCGTAATTGCCACGTTTAGCAAACTAACTAACTAAAGTGTTATACTGGATACTGTGTATACAAAACTATGAATTAAAAGATCATGAAACTCTTTAGTAACTATACTTATTAGATGTATATCGGCATAGCAATAATTTTAACTAACTTCCTTTAGTATTAAGTTATCCGATGTAAGTTTTAATCTCTATTTGATGGATTAGTAAAAAATATAGGCAACTATTTTATAATACCAATCAATATTCAATAGACCAATGATATAAAACAAATATCGCAAATAAACACTCTGCCGTACATTAATAGAAGACAAAGAAATTCGACATTATTTGGTAAAAATTAAATGACCTTAATTTATGAATAAATGTAAAGAATAAAAAGTAAATAACGTAACTTTGAATCAAAGATAATTTACCCGTATTAAAGATACCTCGGAAGTCATGACCGCGGACCGAGATAAAAAGCGACAGAGATTGCTAGATGTATGATATTAATGCAATTCTAAAAAAATCTACATCTCTAAGAATTCAAAAGATATCACTTGATTAACAAACGTGACAACGAGGCAACTTTACATGTGATCCAACTTGGTTGATTTTGGTATGGAGCAGTATTAATGATGTTCCTCAACGGAAGCCCACGCGAGCGAAGCCGCGGGTAAAAAGCTAGTTATCAAATAAAAATGACTTATATTTATAAATTATTTTAATAAAGTTATTTAAAAATAGTTTTAAGCTTTGAAAATTATGTATAAGGATTAGTAATGATGATAAGCGGCTTGAGGATGAACAAAAGGCGCGGAGTTGTGGACTACGGCGTTAAACCTGTAAGGCAATAAAATCAAAGAATTAAAATGATTTTTTGGTAATAATATTAGTTAACATATAGTATACACACACGCGCACACACACACACACACACACACACACACACACACACACACACACACACACACACACACCCCACACACACACACACACACACACAACACACACACACACACACACACACACCACCACAAAACACACACATAACACACACACACACACACACATGTGTATAATTTTATATCACAAGTCTTGATAAAGTAATAAGCTTGTGGGTAGATCGAAACTATTTCAAAGTACTCACCCGCTGTGGTCATCAGCTGTGTACACGACTTTGCGTACGGATCCGTCTGGTTGGACCAACGAATAGGAGCCATGCACAACATCGCCATCGCGGCTTTCTTGCTGCGATTTGTGGTCGCCTGTGTGAGGGTCAGCCACGGAGTATGCGAAGTTGTATTTGGGATGGGCCTGAATATGTAAGGTTAAAATTTTAGAACCAGAAAATTTCTGTATATTGGCTGCGTTTGGCAAAAAAAAGCGCTAGGAAGCGCTTGTAAGCAAAATGGCGATCGTAAGCGGTAAGTGCTGTCAAATCGTAAGTAGCTATTTTCCTCTAGGACACGAAGTTAGCTTTAACCGAGGAACCTAACCTAATTTAAATATATGTTTGTAAAGTATTCATATTAAAAACTTACCAATCATGATTTTTTATAACATGTATAATATGTTTATTCACGTCATTGTATTACTTGAAACTAATATTGCACAAAACAACTTATAAACTCCACTTCAACATAAACAAATTAAATAAGCAAAATGGCGAATTGTGTCGGCGCTACTGAAGTTAGCAAACGTGTCCTGGCCGAAAACTGTTTAGTTTTGCCATTTTTCTTACAAGCGCTTTTCTCTGCCAAACGCAGCCCTTTTCATGATTATAAATTTATTTCTTTGAACCATGATTTTTTATACAAGTTAAGAGATTTACACAAACGAGCAGACAATCTACCTGATGGTAACTGAATGATGTAGCACAATGATTCATGCATTAATTAATTACAGGACTTTTTCATAGATGCCCAATAGGGAGGATTTTGCCATTGCTCTACTCCATAGACATCTATCCTTGATTTAGGATCGAAATACAGATGCCTTATCAACCATAAAAACTAAAATTGGAAGTAAAAAAGAGGGATTTCTCATTACTAACCATACGTATGACAGCAGAATTATGCTGATATTTTACATATTATATATTTTATGTATTTTATATATACTGTGAGGGTATGCTGTTCCCGGTCGAGTCGATCCCTTCGTGCTGTAGTCATACCTACAGCGGAAGTGTTTCTCTACCATATAAAAATTAGATTTTACTTACGTTATAATCCAAGTCACCGTAATAAGCAGACGGGTCAGGGTAATGTGCTGAATATGCCAACGGATTGTAATGGACATCGCTAAAGACTGGAGTGCCATGTTCATCGTGACGCACGATATTTTGAGTGGAAACTGCATGTCCAAGCCCATGGTAGAGATCACCATTGGCTGCGACAAGCATCGCTCCAAAAGCTAAGATCTGAAAAATAATTATTCTTAGTTAAGTCAGTAAACAAGATGATTAAAAAGATATCGACGATTTTTATTTCGATTTGTCTTAATATTTATAAAAGAGTGATAAAATCTAAAGTATTCTTCCGCTTCTATAATAAATAAATGAGAAAGAAAAAAGAAGAAATTATATAAAAATTGTTTACTATTCATTATAAACTTTTTCTTTTCGCTTTTTACACCTCATTTGTATCGTCTGCAGGTAAGAAAACGTCATATATCTTACGCAAATAGCTAAAATTTGTCACTTACTTTACTGATCATTTTTGCTTGTATGTAGTTGTCAGTTGTACGTTGATTGATGTCAACAGAAACTGACCGTGGTTTTTATAATACTTAACACTCAATAGGAGGAACAAGTGGGGTTAGCGGTGAACTATGCGAACCCGATATAACAAAGATAGTAAAAAAGGTGTGGTTAACCCCATTAAAGTTGCAATATGTGTCATGGTATCGATCTCTATTATCTTTGGCCATGTCAGTGACTACTGCAGTACGTGCATGACGAAATTAGAATAGAACCGTTTTTTATTAGTATCTGTATATAGATTTATCATGAGATAGAACGTTTGGTTTAATGGAATAAAAACGCATATTGCGTGTACTAGGCTAAGAAATTATCTTCATTATGATTTTTATATTTACGCGAACATTATACATTTAAATAAAATAGTTTTTAAGGATTTTATCGCGTATATTAACTTAATTTATATTCCCGACGTTTCGAGCACTTAACAGCACCCACGCAACCGGGGGGGGGGGGGGGCTGTTAATGAGCTGACGTGTTCATTCATAATTTCTACACAGATTGACTGAACTGAGTTTGTTTCATAAACCAATTTTAGCAATTACTGGTTGTTGACATTTTTTTCTTTTTAACATGTGTGACATGGACATTAAACATGATCTTTGTTTTGTCCAAATTCATCTTAAGATCTATCCGTTGGGAGACTCTATTGAGCATAGTGCTTAGGTCCTCGAGCAATTCTGCCATCATCATCATTCTCTAGACCATTTCCCATTATCCTGGGTCGGCGCAGTAAATCTTCTTGTTCCATTCCTCTCTATCAGCCGTCATTTCCATACATACTTCTTTCTTTCTCATATCACTCTTCACACAATCGATCCATCTTTTATTCGGCCTTCCTCTACCCGTGTGTCCCTCCACATTCATATTCAACACTCGTTTTGTGACACGACTTTCATCCCTCCGCATCACATGCCCAAACCATGCCAATCTGCTTCCTCTCACCTTTTCTACCACCGGCGCTACTTTCAGGCTTCCTCTTATATACTCATTCCTTATCTTATCCATCCTTGTCACACCACACATCCATCGTAACATTCTCATTTCATTCGCATGCAATCTATTTTCATCCTTCTTCTTGACGGCCCAGCATTCACTTCCATACATGACGACAGGTCGGATGATCGATTTGTAAATTTTCCCCTTCAGCCTTATTGGCATTCGGGGATCGCACGTTGTGGCTGTGACCAGTCGCCATTGCATCCACCCTGCGTTAACCCTATGCTGCACAGCTCTATCTATTTCGCCGTCGCCTTGAATGAGGGAACCGAGGTACTTGAAATCTGAGCAGGTAGGCAGTATAGCGCCATCCAACGACATGGGTACAGGACTGGAAAGACCGCCGAAATCACAGCACAGATATTCGGTTTTGGATCTGCTGATCTTTAAGCCAACACTTTCCAGCCTCTGTTGCCACCCCGTCAGTCTGCTCTGTACCTCGATGCCTTCTTCCCCGACGAGCACGATGTCATCGGCAAAGAGCATGTACCAGGGTGCCTCATCCTGCAGGTCCGACGTCAAAGCGTCCATAATAAGTAGGAAGAGGTAAGGGCTCAATGCCGACCCTTGGTGCAGCCCTACAGCCACATCGATACTGCCCGTAGTTCCCGCGGCAGATCGTACACATGTACGGGATGCTCTGTACATAGCACGGACTAACCTCACATACTTCCCAGGCATACCTTTCATCTTTAACGCCCACCACAAAACCTCACGATGAACCCGATCGTACGCCTTTTCAATGTCGACAAAAACCATGTGCAGATTTTTATGCACGCGCTTGTACTTTTCGCACTATTGGCGTAATGCGAAAATGGCATCTGTCGTACCTCGACCGGGTATGAATCCGAACTGGTTTTGTGTTATCTCACACTCTTCTCTCATTCTTCTCTCTATTATTCTTTCCCAGACTTTCATCGTATGTGACATGAGTTTTATTCTCCGGTAACTGCTGCAGTTTTGAACGTCTCCTTTGTTTTTAAAAATGGGGACCAGTATACTACTGCACCATTCCTCAGGTATTTGTTCCTTCCTGCAACAAATTTACCGAAAAATAAACTCAACCACTTCCATCCATCCGCACTCAGTAACTTCCACACTTCTACTGGTATTCCATCTGAGCCGACCGCCTTCCCATTCTTCATATTACTAACAGCCATTTTTACTTCTTCCACACTAATTTCTCTCACTAAGCCCATATTCACTGGTGGGTTTTCAAGCATACCATTCCATTCATTCTCCTCATTCATCAATTTCTCAAAATACTCCTTCCATCGCTTCTTTATACATTCATCGTCAGTCAAAATGCTTCCAGAATCATCTTTTATACATTTTACATGTGAAACATCTCTTCTTCTTTCTCTCGCTCTTGCAATTTGAAAAAGTCGTTTTTGACCTTCGGGGCTTTCAAGGGACCGATATAATTTATCTTGCGCCTCTGCCCTACAAATAGCAACTTCCTTCTTCGCTCTCTTCTTACATTCTTTATACGTCCCTCTCTTACTTTCTTTTATGGATTCATTCCGGTCTTCTACGCTCTGCCATTCTTTAAAGGAATTTTTCTTTTCTCTCAAAACTTCTCTAATACTTTCACTCCACCACCACCCATCCTTATCTATCACACGCTTCCCTTTTGTTTCTCCTAACACCTTCCTTGCCACACTTCGGATACAATCAGCCATTTCCTTCATGCACTCATTCACACTCATTTCTTCCATATTACCCATCTCTATCATCTTGTTTACAACTAGCTCTCTAAATTCACTTGCATACTCCTCCTTATGCAACAAATGCCACTTTGTTTTGGGTGGGGGACGATCCTTATGTTTGTTGAGGCGAACAGTTAAGCAGATGTCAGCCAGCAGAATTCGGTGCTGGGATACTAAGTCTTCACCTGGAAGCACTTTGCAGTTTTTTACACTCTTGATTTGGTTCCGTCTTATCAGAAAATAGTCGATCTGTGTCGCGTGGTGGCCACTTTTATAAGTAACAAGATGCTGATCTCGTTTTTGGAACCACGTGTTTACTACAGCCAGGTCGAAAGCACATGCTGCTTGCAGAAGAACTTCCCCCTCACGGCTCCGCACTCCGTACCCCCATCCACCATGTGATTTTAATGGACATGTAGGTAGAGTGAATGACGGGTATGAAAGAGATACCCGTCATTCACTCTTCCTACATGTCCATTAAAATCTCCTCCCATATAAACATCCTCACTCTCAGGTATTCCCATCATCATACAATCAAATTCCTCCCAAAACTTCTCTTTCACACTCTCTTCACAGCCTGTTTGCGGAGCATACACACTTACAACATTCACTACTTTGTTTTCAATCATTAATTTAACAACTATCATTCTGTCATTTACTCTTTTCACATCTGTCACTCGTTCTTTCATTCCACTATCTAACACAACTCCTACTCTATTTCGCTTCCCATCACTTCCACAATAATAAAACTTGTATCCTTCCCCAATCTCTCTTGCTTTATTACCCTTCCATTTTGTTTCCGGCAAACAGGCAACATTCACTCTTTCATTCTCATTCCTCGTTTCAAAACATCTGCTAACTCTCTTCCTCTTCCAGTCATCGTACCTACATTCCAGCTTGCAAACCTCACTCTGACATTCTTCTCTCTCCAGGCTCGCCTCTCGAGCAATTCTGCCATAAGGACTATATCGTCAGTAAATCGAAGGTGAGTGATGAACTCGCCATTGATGTAAATACCGTATCCTTTACTGTCCAGTAGCTTGAAAACGTCTTCCAAAGCAGCTGTGAAGAGTTTTGGGGATATGACGTCACCCTGTCTTACACCTCTCTGCAGTTGGATAGTTTTCAAACTACTTGGATAGCCATCGTAGCCCTACTGTACAAACACTTCAGCACTTCGATATACCGACAGTCAACTTGGCACCGCTGAAGGGACTGTAGCACCGCCCAAATTTTGACGGAATCAAAGGCTTTCTCATAGTCCACATACGCCAGGAAAAGTGGTAGATTATACTCTTCGGTCTTTGTACAGTCTGACTTATGTTCTATGTCTCCTTTTCGGAAACCGGCTTGTTCGGGAGGCTGGAAGTCGTCGAGTCTGCTTGAGAGACGATTCGTAATGACTCTCAAAAATAGCATGTAGACGCGGTTCAGGAGGGAAATCGGCCTGTAGTTCTTCAAGACAGCGTTGTCGCCTTTCTTAAAGGACAAGACCACCGCACTTCTGTTCCACGCCTCCGGAGTAGTGCCACCATGGACGGAATTCAAAAACTTTTGAAGCACTTTAAGTACCGGTGCTCTACCCGCTTTCAGAAGCTCCGCTGTAATTCCATTCTCGCTTGGGGCCTTGCCGTTTTTATGGTGCTGGAGAGCCATTCTGATCTCGCTCAGACTGACGTCCAGGATATTATTGGACTGGTGGCGGATACGACTTGCTCTTGGATCGTTACTCACACTTGCGTGTGGTTCCAACAATGATGTGTACAGATGTCCATGGAACCTCTCAATCTCACTGAAAATCTCATGTGTCCCAGAAACAATGCTGCCACACTCAGTCTTTAGCTTTGACAGTTGGCTCTTTTTGCTAGACAGATCTCTGGCAAAGACTGGAGCCCTGGTTCCACTTGATTGCTTCTTCAATACGTCAATGTATGCTGTCAAATCTGCTGACAACTGCAGCTTCATCTCCCGTCTAACAGCCATGAGATTAAGAGTATAATCGGAGAGTTATTGAGTTCTTTTGCGACGGGTCTTGCAGAACTTAGCTCCAACGGCATGTACAGTTTACACGAGCTTCGCATTGCATTCTTCTAGGCATTGAAAACGGTTTTGAATTCGAGCTGAAAGGTTTCGGGATTTAGGATTAGAGCACGAGGGATACGGAGCGTTGACTTTATTAGATGAGACCTTTCCAACGTAACGTTTGGGTTCAGTGTGCCTCTATCCATTCGGTGATCGCTGCCAGTTTT